TTTCATGTCATTAGCACCTCTAGTAAAATATTTACTGAGAAAAATGTTGACGTGTTCAATACTTATTTTACCCGCTGTATATTTTGACGGATAAATAAAAACTACTGCACGCAGCAAGTGGAACCACTGCACTGACAACCAGGGGTGCAAATCACCAGCTTTATCACAACATATAGATCTGTGTGGATAACGATGCAGTGTTTCCCAATATCTGCCATATGATTTCAATRCAATTCAKAAGTCTGCGATTAATWTATCGATCCACATCGACGTACGATGATGATGTGGATCGATGTTTCCATTTTGCCTTGATGTAATTAAACCATTAATCATTTAATCGATATATCCATGTGGATCATTGTTACGCTCCTACTGCAAACACACTGTAAGACCACAAACCAGTGATCTGAAAACAAGAGAGCCCTGAAAGATTTTACTGCCTCTTCTGTGTAAAAGATAGGTTTTTTCTTAAGATGCTGCCATGCAAGCAATATGTGATGTTTAACTAACTGGGTTTAAAAAAAAAAAGATTAGGCATTTATTAAAATATGAGAAGTTGGCTTTATTTTCTCTATCCATCCATAATGTTTTATTCGTTTCTTCCTTTGAGGATCACTGGAGTCACTGGTGCCCATTTACCAATAACTCAGTCATGTTTTTGGTCTGTGGGAGAAAACTGGAGTAGCTACCTGGAGAAAACCCACATATGCACTGAGAGAACATGTTTTTTTAGGTGAAGATGAAGCTTTTTTTTCTCCTCTTGAGGTTAAAATAAAATGCTAAAAACTGAACTAGAATGTTTTCATGCAAACAGAGTGATCTTACCATGTGCTCCAGGTTTGAAATTTGACCCTCAGTCTTTTCTAGTAGCTGATCCTGATATCGTTTTTTCTTCAGAAGCACAAGRGCTTTCCTGCAATAAATCAAAAGAAAAAATATTCACACACAGAATGTGTCTTTGCAAACATTTTTTTATTTGCATGCACATTAAAAGGGGCACCAGTTGATGCTGTTGAGTTTCTGGATTGAACTTATGTTGTCTGAATGTTTTGCTCACTCTTTCTTGCCATCTTTTAGCAGCTGTTTAGCCAGAAGTCTTTCTTTTTCCAGCTGGAGGCTGATTTTCTTCTGATACTGCTTCAGTTTGTCTCTTTGCTGCTTCAGTTGCTAGGAATAAAAGCACTAATTAAAACCCATTTCCACAAGTAACAAAACTGCTTAATGTTTAATTAATTGAAGAAATGAATAGGTCTGGCRGTGTTTCGACGCACTGCATTAATTGTGCGTCTAACGGGGCTGATCGGGCATCATATCCTCCGGGTTTCGGAGCTCACCAAAACGGCTTTGTCTTGCTCCGTTACACGGGAAGGTCGGCTCTTTCTCCCAAAGACGGTTCCCATTATTCAGCCACATCCTCCCTCGTCAACACGTCCCGTTTTATTTCATTCTGTACATTTTATCATCCTATAAACAGCCTCAAGTGGCCAGCAAACTAACTGCTAACATGTCTAGTGTTTTCTACGGCAAGCGAGAAAGGACCTGACATCCAAATACGACTTCGCTCCGACTGAAGATTCATTATATTATATTATAT